AAATGATATTAAACTAAACCAAAACTTGTGGGACTGGAGAGATGGCTCAGTAGAATAAGTGCTTCCCTGGCACGCACAAGGGCCTGAGATCAATCCCCAATTCTGAAAAAAAAAAAACAAAACAAAACAAAAACTTGTGCACCAAATAGAAAAAAAAAATCAACAAAATAAAACACAATTTATAAGACAGTACAAATTATTTGACAATTTTGTACCTGGTGAAGGCTTGTTATCTAATATATGCACCTTGCATCTGTAAGCCACAAACAAGAGTCATTAGCAAATACATTCAAATAAACCTTGTAGAAAAGGCAGGCAAAAATAGACCTTGGCATTCCTCAATGATATTTCAGTCTTAAATATGCTTATACAATCATGTTCAAAATTGCTAACAGTGAGGAATATGTAAATCAAGATGACAGGATAGGGATGCCAGTTATTACACATAGAAAAGCCAAATAGTAGAGAGCATTTTAATGCTCTTGGCAGAAATGGAAGTTATTATAAATTTGTATAGTATTTAAAACAACATGGAGCTTCCTCACAATATTAAAAATAGAAGCACATATACTTACTATCCAGAAAAACTATTCTTGAGTTTATATGGAAAAGAAATGCAATCAGTTTGACAAAGGGACATCTGCCCTTCCATGTTCATGTAGCAATATTCATAATAGTAGGACATGAAAACAACAAAATTTTCTCCTGTGAATTGATTTGAAACATGGTTAATATACATGATGGGATATAGTCAGACATAGAGATGAAATTATGCTGTTTCCAAAAATGTGGATGAAATTGACAACTATTTTATAAAGTCAAACAAGCTGAAAAAGTATATACCATAATATCATTCATGTGGGGCATTAAAGAGGTAATCTCATGGAATTTGGGATTAGAAGGATAGTTGCTACAAGTGAGGGATGACATACAGAGAGACGATGAACAGTATATTAATTGATAGGCACTACTATAGTGATATTTTAGTCATATATCTATAGGAAGAAAAAATTCTAGTGTGTTATTTCTGAGAATTTCAAATAAGGAGAGGAGAAGATTTGAATGTTTTCAATGTTGAAGGATGATGGGCTGGCCAGATAGCTCAGTGGATTAAAGCGCCTGCTTAGGCAGGCCCAGGGGCCTGGGTTCAATCCCATGTGTGCTGTGCCGGCCCCTCCCCTGAGGCTCACTGAGATGGCAGTTGAGACTGGGCTTCCTGGCATGCCTGTAATCCTAGTGCTTGGGAGGCTGAAAATAAGAGTATTGCTATGAGTCAGATCTGTGTAGTAAGACTCTCTAGACCCTGTACTAAATACATAAAAAGACAAAAAAAATGAGGTTGATAAAACTTTAAGGAGACAGTCATATTTAACCTGACTTAAACACACTGCATGGTGTCCGCGTGTACACACCATAGCACAGGATACTCTTTATTTTCATATTCATTAATGAACAGCAGATATTCCGTTAAATTTTAAAAACCGATGAATTTCAAAATTGTAAAATTTCTTAACAAGACAATATTTAAGAATTAAAATACTGATTTTTAAAAATATTATGCAGATTATATCAGGATTTGCACTACTAACTGGAAAGCTTATCTTGCTCATTCTAAATGTAATGAGAAAATTGAACAAAATTGTTTGTAGATAATTAAGTGATTATGGCTATTAAAGAAAATGTTTAAAGTTAGACAATAGACATTACTATTTGTCACTATTAATTTTTAATAGTTAACATTCGAAACAAAAATCAGTGCAATTATGTACAAAATAAATGAGAATCATGCTTTTATATGCAAAATTAATCCTCTAAAATTATTATATAGAAAGGAAACTGAGATTCAGAAAGTTTCTTTTAAGTGACATTTACATTAGATCGTAATTCTACACTGGACATACTAAAAAGGTTTTTAATAACTTTTATGTATTTTAAGTTGAAGTTGTACAACAAGAATTTATAATATCTTATGATAGATATCATCTCTTAGTTATTTCATAGGCTCTTTGTCAGCATATCAGAATGTAAGTACTGCACAAGATGATAGGAACTCAACAATTGTCATAATGCATATTGTTTTCTTCAAATTGTTCAGATTACCAGATATAAGCAAGCAAAATTTTTCAAAAAATTCAAAAGAAGGAAATAAATCGTCAACTCTTCCTTTGAACAGACCAGTAGAAATCAGCAGTATAATTATTTTTCGTATTTTTTGTTCTCTTTAAAAATTTTTAAAAGAATGAGTGAATAAGAAACTACAGCAATAAGAAATGTACTAAAGAGTGGGTCAGATGAACTTAAGTGACAGTATTTTTACTAGATAAATATAGCTGTTAACGACATCAGTCTAAAGAAGGTTTTCAGATAAGGACATTCCTTTTGGTAATGAATTGTAGAAAAAAGAAAAAGAAAACTCCTTTTCAGTATACCTTTACATATTTTAAATTATTTTATATTTGGTTAAATTGAGGTTTTTAATAACTTCATTTTAAATATGCAATAAAATGCACAATTTGAACTTAAAAATTCATCAAATTGTAAGCACTTGTTTAATAAAGTCTTAAATATGTTTTACATAAAAATAATTCAAGTATTGTAAGGCTTGCTTAACAAACATAAAAGTTTTATTCCTTTTACATGTTTTTGGGATCTTCATAAGAGATATAATTTTAAAGCAATGACAAAAGCATGAAGCTTGCCTCATGTAGGGGAAGACAAATTAAAGATACTTTCAGCAATTAATAATAGTTCCTTTATGAGTTTCATTTTAAAAATACCAGTACACCATTTTGGAACACTGTGAGGAGGCACACTGTTGACTTGTCAAATATCAGATTTATTTTCTCTTAATTCATTACACAAGTCTGATGTTGAAATGTGAAAATATGCAAGGACTCATAAGAACTTACTGATCTCAAATTCATTTTTGCTAATAACAGGTGTCATTACTTTAATAAAAATTTGAAAATGTAAAGATTTTTGTTGCTCTTCTAAGTTGTTCTTTGAGCTTGTATTTCATCAACGCTTCACAATGTACTAAAGGAAAAATGTTGTGACCACGACAAGATTAAATATTGACAAGAACCATTAATGTTAAGATGTAACCTACTCTCATTTTATAATGAGGATTTTCCCAGAAATATTCCATATATTTAGATATTAGTTTAATCAATGAACATGTTTGTCAAATTGGTACAAACAAATTTAACTGAGTATTATTTCATATTTTAATAACCAAATAGGCTCCATTTTATATTAATGACATTGAAATTGTGTGACAAAAATTCAAATCAGGGCCTGGGGAGATAGCTCAGTGGAATAAGTGCTTGCCTGGCAAGCACAGGGTCCTGAGTCCAATCCCTGGTAC